TGCACTGTGTGGGCCAGGGCATCCGCCTCGCCCTTGTCAGATTACAGTGCCACACGATTGCGGGGCGCCCGAGCGTGGTCCGAGATCTTGCCGCAGCATGCACTTGTGTTGACAGGGATGCTGGGCAGGCCCACGCCAGACAATTTTGTGGCACGCCTGCCGTCCCTGCCAACACGACGACGTTCAGTAATCGAGGGACGGCCGGACATGACCCAGGGAATTGTGCAACGTGCATGCTGGATTGTTTTTTGACCAGGGGTGGGGGGTTTTATCACTGTCGTGAGCTTGTCGCCAGACGGAGGGGGAGAATCATCAGGAGAGATGGTCCCAATCCATGATGGGAAAGCAAGTGGTTGGATGATGAAACGCTCTGAACTACAGGCAAAGGGCTCGCGATTTTGGTGCCACTCATAAGCGGGCGATTCTTGCTCGGCGGTTGTTGTGCGGGTTTGTGCGCGGCGTGTGCCCCGTACGTGCGGATGTTTTTGATATCTGAGCGTTCTGATATATGGGCGTGTGAACATGTGCGGCCATATGCGGGGGTATGTGCTTTGAGTGTTTCCACCATTGTTCTGGTTCGGCCCCCGCCCTTGAGCGTTGTCTGCGACTGCTCACGCATGTGCGTGGCGTGCGCGGGATCCCTTTGGGCTGTGTATGAGCAGCGTTACATATATCGGGCGATACAACCGGTGCCTACACCGCGGCTGCTTGCCCCAGCCGTGCCCGCCTATGCCCGCAGATGGCGCCGCACATGCCCTCACATGGCACCGTTCGTCGCCGCGCGGCCACACAGGGCCGCGCGCGGCCGCACATGCCCGCACAGCTCCGCACAGCAGACCGCACAGCAGGCCGAACATGCCCCCCTGCCCCCGCCCCGCACCTCCGCACATGGCACCACGCCCCGCAGCGGACGACCGCACATGCGGGCACATGGCGTCGCTCGAGGCTGCAAGGGGGTGCACGGCGAGGCGCAGGAGGAGGATGAGGAAGAGGAGGAGGAACAACAGAGCAGGAGGAGCAGGGGGAAGGGGAGGGCGGCACCCGACGGACTCTTGCGCCTTCAGCTGAAGCTCGCTCTTTCCTGGAGGTGGCGTCTCCTGCCCGCTGGGCGACTTCAGCCGCCCGGCGGAGACCCTGGAAAGTGCACCCTTTTCTCCCAGGGTCCGCGCCCTTCCCACCCTTTCCGTTCCTACTGCACGACCGGTCGCCGCGGGCAGTGCAAATCTTGTAATGGCATGTGCCGGAGAATCTCTCGGCGGCGCCCGCGGGCCCCCAGTGGCCCGCCATGGATTTGCGCTTTCGCTAGTGGCTCTTATCCTCGAGGGATTGTCGGAAGCCGGGCAAGGGCTGCTAAATCCGTGGCTGCTAAAATCGACCTCCGGGAAGTTGTCTTCGTCCTTCCGGGAAGAAGCCCGTTGACTGTTTCGCGTGCCGCGCCTCATTCCGGGAAGTTGGTTTTTCCTTCCGGGAGGGCCGTTTTAGCAGCCACGGTTTTAGCAGCCCTCGCCCAGCTTCCCAGATTGTCCGGGTTGCCAGGGTGGGCGCTCCTGCAAGTTGTGTATGTGGAAGTATGGCGCGTGCGGCCATGTGCGGGCACGGCGGCGCTTTCGTGGCCAGCGACCTCGTGCGCATGAATCAACGCGGCGACCTCAACCTTGCCCCGCACAGAGGCGCGCAGGTGGGCGAGCACGCAGCGCGCGGCATGTGCACAAAGAAAACCCCGGTAAAAACAGTGATAACTCAACACATGAACCTCACGATGATGAGGCTTGCGTGCGCCGTGTGGTGTGGGCCTCGCGCTTCGGCACCAGCAAACAGGATGATCAGGCAAATTGTCGCGACAATGATGGGCGGGACGCATCCTTGAACCATGCCCGTTCATACAGAAGCAGAGGGGTAACCCGAACACCCCCAACGCTGGCCAGCTCTGGGATCTCCGGAAGCCTCTTGCAGGCCTCTTGGCGCTACATTGAGGCTCTTTTAGAACCATTTTGGGAGAAATTGTGGACTCTTGCGAAAATTCTTAGGGCCTTTTTGGAAGCTTCCGGTTATCTCGTGGATTTTCCCGAAGGCCATCAGCCAAAAGTGGGTCTTGAATATCGGTCCATTTCTGGATAACGAAAAATGGTCGTGTGTGTTTGTCGCCTTGTGCGGACTGTTTTGAGTTGTTCCTACGGGCCTGTTTGGGGTTCTCCTGAGACCCTCCTGCGTTCCTTTTGGATCCCAGTTCAAGTATCTTGGGGCCGTCGTGAGGCCTGGGAAGTCCTTGGAAGCGAGATAGGCAAACTGATGTGCGACGAGTTTGGCCTTTTTCGGGAAATCGTTGGGAGGCACCGTGGCCGCTTGGAGCCGTTTTGACATTGTGTTGCGTCCTTTGGGGGGCACGCTGGAGGCCATCTCGCACCAATTTGGGCAATATTGGCACAGCCTCCGAGACCACTTTGTGCTAGCTCATGCCCTCTCCCCTTCAGACCCGCGGGGAGGAGGTAGGGGGAGAGCGTGCCGATCCAGTGAGGGAGCCACGTTTTTGTTCCCTAAGGCTGGGGGTGAGGGCGTGGCGAAGAGCCGGCGGCTTTTACAAAACATTGATCTTGATATTCCTACATGAGGTGCGGCCAAGGAGAAGGAGGAGGCGAGGAGGAGGAGGAGGAGGAGGAACAGGAAGCGCACAGGATTCGAAACCCATCATTCCAGCAACCTTGCGACTTGGGCATGGAAGTTCTCTTGCCATCCCCCCTCCTTTTCGTCCCGCCCATCCTTTAGACGGGTGAAACATCGGAGGCACGCCATGACATCTGCCACGGCTCAACACCCTCTTCCATCCCAGAACCGAACTCGCAGGGCGCAGGTCATCCGAACTGTCGCATCGGCGCCAGCCATTCAGAGTGGGCTTGGCCCGTCGGCATGCGTGTTGCTCAAGGTTCCTTTCTGTTTCCATGCTGCATCTCATTGTGGGGTATCCCTGTCTATATTTGTGGAGGATGATCAATGGAGAGGAAACATGTTGCCAAATGCTTTCCAGATGTCTAAACCATGCCTTAGCCATGTTTTAATCATGTTTTAAACATGTTTAAAACATGTTTATCATATTTATCCGACATGTAAAACACATGTTAAAATCAATGATAGGACTGTTAGGGTGTCCATTGTCGTGACATCCACAAGTCTATATTGTTGTATGCGCCGTGCTGGTGTTGCGATATTGTTTGGCCTTCACGTGCGCCACCTGGGGATTATACTCAGTGCCCGCTCGTCGTTGGTCTTGACCGCTTGGTGTTGCTTCCGAGCCACGTAGGTTTCGTGCGCCCGTCCATCCCCATCGGTTTGGCTTCTGGCGTTGGCCCAGGGGTATTCGAGCTTCGGCGAAGCTCGAATACCTGTTTAACCAGATTCTTCCAGATTCTTCCGAATTGTCCCAGATTCTGCTAGATTCTTCCGAATTCGCCCAGACGCCATCAGGTTCTCGCAGATTTCTGCGGATCGTCCGACGAGCGCTCAAGCGTCAAGCGCCGGCAAGATTTTACTTTTAACCCAGTTCCCTGAGCGGCAGAGCGCGCCTCTCTCTTCAGAACATGTCTATTGTCGCGAAGCCGCGCACGGCAATGGAGGTAGTGCAGTGGCTTCACGATTGCGTCGCCGAGCTTGTCATCGTAATGTTGCGTCCGCTCCCCCTCCCCTCCACCGTTGCGCTGAAGAGAACAGAAACCGATATTGTCGCTCAGCTCCAAGGGGCAGCCTTCCCAGCCAGCAACTTGGTGCGGTTTAATTTTTCTGTTGCCAGAACGCGGGCTACACTGCCAGAGGAGGAGGATGAGGAGGAAGAAGAAGAGGAGGAGGACGACGAAGAGGAGGAGGAGGAGGAGGAGGAGGAGGGGAGGAGGAGGAGAAGTCCTTCCCAGTGGTTCGAGGATGCGGGCGTGCGAGGCACGGGGCTCTGTGGCCCGTCTGGCTCAGGGGGTCGGGTTTTCTCGACCGGCACCCGCCCCCCATGGACAGACCCGGGCGTGATCCAGCGGACCCACCGTCTGCACCGCACCAGAGCAGGGCTCGAGCCAAGCGGTGCTCTGGCGATCTCGTGGAGACTGCGCTCGCTTTGGTGTCCCGTGGCCGCGGCAGCAGCGGGTCGATGTCGAAACGAGACCGGGAAGCCCAGACCCCCGACGTCGTGATTTTTGTCGCAACGGCGACCCCCAGAGGTTTGGACCCCTCCCCTGGGGCCAGCGTTTCATCCTGAGCCGTTTTCTAATGGTCCCGGAGCCGAGCCGTTTTCTAATGGTCCTGGGGCCAGGCAAGGCCCCCCCCCTTGGAGGCCGACAGTAGCGAAAAGCCTCTGGCCGTGATTTTTTTTTACAACGCGAGGGGGTCTGGGAACACTGATTAGGTCGAGCCCTGCACCAGAACTCGCTTCCCCGGCCGCCGGGTGCCCATGACGGCACCGAGCTCCAGCTCTCCGAGACTGCCTACGTGGTCTGCAGCGCGGACGAGCACCATCGCCCGATCCTCTACGCCAGCCCGCAGTTTGTGGAGCGCGTGGGGTACTGCTTCGAGGATCGGCGGCGAGCGAGGGGGTGAAGTGGGAAGGAGGAGGCCCTCTCAGAAAGCGAGCGAAGGAGGAAGTTCTCGAGTTCGAGGTTTGAGGTTTTCGGATGCTGTCGTCGGTTCTCGGCGGTTTTCCAGCCTCGGGATGCGTTCCAGCGGCTGCGCCTCGCCGAGAGCGTTCCCGGGGTGCCGAGGCCGTCCAGAACGGCCGCCGGAGATCCGAGTTATCACCCAAAATCTAAATTCGGCGGCGCGCCCTGAGAAGGAGAATGCCGTCTCAGAAGGCGAGGGGACTTCTCAGAAGCCCTTGCGCCTTCTGAGAAGTTGTCTGCGTCTTCGGGGAAGGCTTCGGGAGCCTCTCAGAAGGCTGGGAGACTTCCGATCATTCTGCGAAGGCCCGCCCCTTCTCACTTCCCCCCCGCGCTCGCCGCCAAGAGGAGTGCCAGCTGAGCCAGTGCGATATGCTCGCAGGCGCGGAGAAGATCCGCACGTCTCAGAAGGCTGTCGACAGCCTCGCAGCGCGGACGGGTATCCACAGTGAACAGATCGCGGCAGCGCTGCAGCGCATGCAGGGACACGTGCGCGGCCGTCTAGAAGATGGCCGCGGACGCAGCCTCGTGCTCGGGCACCGCCGCGGCGGCCACAGCTTCCCTGCCGCGATCGTGATGCGGAGGACGCCGCTCGCACGGCTCGGCCCGCCAAACGGGCTGGCCTGAGCGGCGAAGGTGGTCACCCAGATCTCAGAGAAGGAAAGGGTACCCATACCTCTACCCTTCCCTCGTTTTCCCTTTTTGGGTGGCCTCCTGGAGGGTGAGGTCCTCGTCGCCACCGCTGGATTCGTCTCGAATTCTGGTCAGAACGCATCCCAGGAGAGGTTCGGGGAGTAGCGGTATCGGTACTTTTTGATTTCCCCAAGGCCTCTTGCGATCTGACTTCCAACCAGCAGCGCTTTGCGGGCCAGGGGGCCGTTGGAAGCAGGCATGGGGCGAGGGTGATCGTTTTTGCTATTCAGTGTCTTGCCGACCGGCGCGGGCCCTCGCAACCCCCCTCCCCCCTCTCTGGTGGAGTGGGTCTTGGCTGTTTTGGGGGCGCCTGTTTCGAGCGGGCGGAGTCCCTCCCCCACGGAACGCCCTGTCGAGAGCAGTCGCATTATGAGCAGAGGTCCAGAGGCGGACCCCGGCCCCCCCCCCTTCTTCTCGCTCAATGTCGAAGCGCCGAATAAGAAAACGCTCACACGAGCCCTCTTCGTCAAGACATCCGTCGAGATTTTTTGAGCCAACTAGCCCGCTGGCGCTGTGAAATTACTCTAGAGCTTAGCCGGTTCGCTTATGGGGAAGCTCTACGAGTCAATAGCAGTGACCCCCTGGGACGGGGTCGGGGCATCTGAGGTCGTGGCTGGAAGAGAGCACATCGGCGGGCGTCTGTCAGGGGGCGCCCTCCCATCGCCCTCCTCTCCGCACGTGTTTCAGTGGGATGGGTGGGGGGGGGGGGAAAGCACGCAGACACAGTGAATTGCCGACTCCCCAGAAAATAGAGGAAGTGTGGGGGAAGACGATAACTCAGAGCATGTTATGGGGAAGTGTCTGGGAATGGTGTCTGTTTATCCGCGTGTCCCTGGGCCCCGTTCATGTGTCGGAGGTGGACAGAGCTCCTACCCTGACACGTCGATTGAGGACTTGGCCGTTTTCGGTTCGCGAGAGGGCACCGCGGCCGCCATTTTTGCTTGTCCAGGTCCGACGATTTCGGCCCTCGGTTGTCTTCACTGCGGGGAGGTTTACGGAAGGGAGGTCTGTCCACAGCCGATACGCCGTTCGATTGCTGGATGATGGCGACGTCCAGGAAATCCACTGCGTGGCACGACATGTCTGCCTTTTCAAGTCTGTAGGAAGAGGCGCATTTCCTCCTCAACGCAGCCACTAGCAATACCCACTTATACCGATATCTACATATGAAAATGAGATCGTCTCGGAATGCCCCATCAAAAAGTATGCCAAGTGCTTCCCGACGTCTTAAAACATCCATCTGTGGCAATTCTGCGAAGAACATGTCGGACAGCTCCCTAGCGCAGGGGAATCCATCCCCGAACCTGTTTCGACTCGCCACGCCCTCTGTTCCCATAGGGGCGTCGCCACGAACTGGTTGTCGAGGAGGCCGAACAGGATGACTTCGTGGAGGGAAGCTGGTCCCCACGCCCTCGTTGCAACTCTGTTTGCCATGGTCTCATGGTCCCCTTTCAAATAAAACTCTTTGATTTCCATCGTTGCAAGAATTGCCGACCCATTCGTTCGCATCATTGCCAAAGCCACCAATAGCGCTTCTGTGCTGCGGTAGATGTCTTCGTACGTGTTCTTAGCAAACTACCCCAAGACGCTGCTGTACAAACGACTAACATCTTTGAATATATTTCCATTGCAACCGTGTATTATTCGAAGGCCCCCCCCCCCCAGGTGGCGTGTGCGTCTTCATCGTGAACTGGAGCTTCGCAACGCTGGGGTTCTCTGACCTACAGCGCTTCTGGAGCTCGTAAGTGAGGCGATTGTCACCGAAAGCTTCTGCGACATGTTTTGTGATGCACTCGAACACCTTAAAAATCAACGGTTCGTTCACATACCATATCTCCTCGTAGCACTGCTTGGACATGGTCTTGTCAACCAAAGTCCTGAGGTCGCTGTCCTTGTTAAGACGATAACCGCCGTGCTTATCCGTGGGGGCAACGTCGAAAGAGTTGGTCTTGATCCCTTTGATCGCATAAAACAGCGAAGGGTCAAGTTCGAAATGTGGTGCCTTCCACGCCCGCTGGTGGCATGGATCTTGAAACGCTCGTAAAGCTTGTATTTGACAGCCGCTAAACACGACTTTACCTCAGGGGGCAGCACGGTGGTTCCACCCGACCCCGCTGGATTAGCGTCGTAATGTTCGGCAACTTGGTATTTGCCCAAATGCTCATGTCACCATGCCTGCCCTGAGGTATCTGCCTGGAATCTCCATCTCCACTTGACTTTGTTGCAGAAATTCATGATGGCACCTGCCATACCAGAGTGGTCTGGAATACCATTTCCCACGAATATGTGCTTCCGCGAATAGCAAGTAAGAAGAGCATGTCGGACAGCTCCCTAGCGCAGGGGAATCCATCCCCGAACCTGTTTCGACTCGCCACGCCCTCTGTTCCCATAGGGGCGTCGCCACGAACTGGTTGTCGAGGAGGCAAAACAGGATGACTTCGTGGAGGGAAGCTGGTCCCCACACCCTCGTTGCAACTCTGTTTGCCATGGTCCCATGGTCCCCTTTCAAATAAAACTCTTTGATTTCCATCGTTGCAAGAATTGCCGACCCATTCGTTCGCACCATTGCCAAAGCCGCCAATAGCGCTTCTGTGCTGCGGTAGATGTCTTCGTACGTGTTCTTAGCAAACTACCCCAAGACGCTGCTGCACAAACGACTAACATCTTTGAAGATATTTCCATTGCAACCGTGTATTATTCGAAGGCCCCCCCCCCAGGTGGCGTGTGCGTCTTCATCGTGAGCTGGAGCTTCGCAACGCTGGGGTTCTCTGACCTATAGCGCTTCTGGAGCTCGTAAGTGAGGCGGTTGTCGCCGAAAGCTTCTGCGACATGTTTTGTGATGCACTCGAACACCTGAAAAATCAACGGTTCGTTCACATACCATATCTCCTCGTAGCACTGCTTGGACATGGCCTTGTCAACCAAAGTCCTGAGGTCGCTGTCCTGGATAAGACGATAACCGCCGTGCTTATCCGTGGGGACAACGTCGAAAGAGTTGGTCTTGATCCCTTTGATCGCATAAAACAGCGAAGGGTCAAGTTCGAAATGTGGTGCCTTCCACGCCCGCTGGTGGCATGGATCTTGAAACGCTCGTAAAGCTGGTATTTGACAGCCGCTAAACACGACTTCACCTCAGGGGGCAGCACGGTGGTTCCACCCGACCCCGCTGGATTAGCGTCGAAATGCTCTGCAACCCGGTATTTGCCCAAATGCTCATGTCACCATGCCTGCCCTGAGGTATCTGCCTGGAATCTCCATCTCCATTTGACTTTGTTGCAGAAATTCATGAGGGCACCTGCCATACCAGAGTGGTCTGGAATAACATTTCCCACGAATATGTGCTTCCGCGAATAGCAAGTAAGAAGAAGCACCACTGGCCATGGCACTTCCTGGCTGGAAGCCGTTCTGACAGAACGCGTGCAAATGTCAAACATGTAGACGCGAATGCGCAGAGAGTCGTAGTCGAGCATTTTTGTCAACATCCACGGCTCTGCACCATCCAACATCCTCCAAACACAACGACTAACAGCCGTAGGGGTTACGTAATTTCCCCCCCCCTTGCCGATGTTTGAACCACCTTCTACACCTCCTCCTCCTCCTCCTCCTCCTTTTCCTCCTTCCAGCCTTCCCCGAAGACGCACCTCGGGTCTCCAGCGGCCGTCCGAGACGATTCCGGCACCTCCGGAACGCCCCCGGCGAGGCGCGGCCGCCGGAGCGCCTCCCGAGGCTGGGAAGCCGCTGAACACCGACGACAAACGTCCGAGAACCTCGAACCTCGAACTCTAGGACTTCCTCCCCTCGGTCGCCTGCGGAACGGGCCTTCTCCTTCTCCTGGCGAGCCAACAACACACACACACACCCATACCCATAGGGGTGTCGGAGAGGGCTATGGGTGCGTATTGTCGGATGGAGGTCCCCGCTCGAACGGGAGCGTTCCCCAGGGTCCGACAACCCGCACCCATACCCACAGCCAGTCCTCCTCCCAACGTCCCCCCTATGTCAGCGAGCGAAGAACGGTATAAAATAAACTTCTTCGCCGTCGGGGACACCTGCCCCTGGGCGGCTGGAAAGTTTATACCCCTACGGTGCCACCGTAAGGGTATAAACTTTCCAGCCGCCCTGGGGCAGGTGCCCCCGACGGCGAAAAAGTTTATCTTATACCGTTATTCGCCCGTTAACTATGGGTATGGGTGTGTGTTGTTCGTTCGTCATCTCGCTTCCCCCCTTCGTTCGCCGCCGAGTCACCCTGCCTGAGCCGCCTCCCTCCTCCTCCTCCTCCTCCTCCCTCCCTCCTCCTCCTCCTCCCTCCCTCCCTCCCTCCCTCCCTCCATGGCTCCATCCTCCTTCCCTCCTCGTCCCCTCCCTGTGCGTGTGCCTGAGCCGCAGCCTGCACCTGCCCGTCCACGCCACCGCCCAGCGGCCGCTCGCCAGCTCCCGCCTTTGCACGCCGCGCCTCCCGCCGCGCCTCGCGGCGTCGCCGCCTCGCCACGGAGCCCCCGGGGAGGCCGTCGACAAGGCACACGCACAGGGAGGGGACGAGGAGGGACGGAGGATGGAGCCATGGAGGGAGGGAGGGAGGGAGGGAGGGAGGGAGGGAGGAGGAGGAGGAGGAGGGAGGGGGAGGAGGAGGGAGGAGGAGGAGGAGGAGGAGGAGGAGGAGGAGGAGGAGGAGGAGGAGGAGGAGGAGGAGGAGGAGGAGGAGGAGGAGGACGAGACGGGGAGGCGCGAGAAGGGGCGTGGACGAGGACGAGCACGGGGAGGCGCAGAAGGGGCGAAGACGTCGCAGCCCTGGCAGCTGCCCCTCGGCGGCGGCCGAAGGAGAAAAGGAGAATGAGGAGGAGGAGGAAGGGAGGGTTCGTCGGATCTGGTGCGACGCCTGAAAGAAGGCGGGAGGCGGACAGCCTGGAGGGGAATCGGGAAGGAAGGGGGCGAGGGTTGAAGCAAGGGGTAAGGCTGGGGGCTCGGAAAACCCTCCGTCTGATGCTCCACAGCCTGCGGCTTCATAGTTTGGGCTCCTCTGTCGAAAGCTGGTCCTTCCTCCTCTCTGCCGACCCCCGCTACCGAACCCCGCAGGATGCCTGGTGCGGAGCACGCCTTTCTCGTCGTCTGGCAGATCGACCTCTCACAGAGCGTCACTGTGGGGGAGGTCCTGCGGGACGCCCTCGCGGGGGACCACTCATCCTTGCTGCAGAAGCACGAGGGCATCGTGGCGGCCCACGAGCGCCTCCTGGAGCGCGAGAGCGCCGTCCAGACAGTGCGCGAGCAGGAAATCGAATAACAAACTGCATGAGCATAAGCATTCGGAGCGCCGCGTTGATTTTTTATCTGCACACTGTGCGCTCCTCGCGCCAGGGAGGGGGGCACCAGGGAGAGATCCAAGGGATCCGCGCGGCCCTCCGAAAGTTTATGTTTATGTCGATGTGCTGCTCCTCTTAAGGCCACGGAAGAGGTGCTGAACAGCATGCGCATGCTTTATCTCTCGGAGTCGGAGAGCTGCTCGGCGCCAGGAGAGGGGGAAGGCGGCGACAGTCTCCATCCACAACCTGCGGCAGTGGGCAGCAGCTGCAGGCCACCTGCGATGACGTGCCACCTTCAGTCGGGCATGGCGATCGACCCGCACGCGCTGGAGGCCGCGGAGATGACGGCCTCCCTGTCCCTGACCTGGGACTCGTTGGAGACGATCGCGACGGAGGAGTAGAAGAAGAAGAATAATAATAAAAATAATAAGCAAAATAACGAATAATAAGAAGAATAATAATAATAAGAAAAAGAAGAAGAATGAGAAAACGATGAAGAAGAAGAAGAAGGAGCAAAGAAAACGATGAAGAAGCAGAAAACGATGACGATGAAACGAAGAAGAAGAAGAAGAAGAAGAAAACGATGAAGAAGAAGAAGAAGAAGAAGAAAACGATGAAGAATAATAATAAGCAAAAGAAGCAGCATCACAACGAGTTGTCGGAGCTCGGCGCGGATTTCTTGGATCTACGCCTGGGCTCCCCTGGCCGCGCCCCCGGCGGCGCCCTCGGCGCCGGGCTCTGGCGCGATCTGCGCGCCAGGGCGATGGGGGCCCAGCGCCGATCCCCGATACTCCAGATTTCGTAATAAAGGGAGGGGGTCTGGACCCTCCAAGACAAGCCATTTCAGACCTCTCCCGTGGGAGAACCCTCCAAAACATCGTCCCCAGACCCCTCCAGGCCCCCAGCGCCGATCCCCGATACTCCAGATTTCGTAATAAAGGGAGGGGGGTCTCATTTCGGGGGGGGGTCTCTTCCAGGCTATCTTGGAGGGCCTGGGGGGTTCTGGTGACGATGTGTTGGAGGGTTCTCCCACGGGGGGGGGTCTGAAATGGCTCGTCTTGGAGGGTCCAGACCCCCTCCCTTTTATTACGAAATCTGGAGTACCTGCGCGGAGCCTGGCATCGCTCGGACGTGTGCATTTTTTCCCGGCGAGGGCCATCGAGGAGCATCATGCGGGACCTTTTTGCGACAGAAGCCGCGCACGAAGCCGGAGAAGCGCACGGGGAATGGACGGCCGAGCGATGGCAGGGAAGAGGGAGGGAAGGAGGGAGGGAGAGCTCCGGAAGTTTCTGCTTGAGCTGCTGGGGGGGGCACCGAGGCCGCCGCTCCCCGGACCCCTTCCAGGGGTGCGCTCGTGCCGGCCAGGAGCTCGGGGCGAGTCCGCGGCGTCCAGGGCCCTCCCAGGAAGCCCACGGCCTCCGAGAGTGTATGCTCATGCGGCGTGCGGGGGCGGCAAAGAGGGGGGTGATGACAGGGGAAGGGGGGGGATCTCATGGCGGGGGCCATGATATCTCCCCAGATTTCATGGCGCATATTCTCATCTCAATGCGTCCCCGGCCGCCCCCCTGGGCCGCGCACATGCCGCCGGCCATGATTTGTGCCCCCCCCTCTTGGACGCCCCCCTCTTGGCCGCCCCCGAAGTGTCATTTCAGAGAACCGAGGCTCAAACGAAAGCATGGAATGCCAGGCTTTGGGCTACAGTCGGACGGGGGTACAAAGTCGAGGCCCGCTTGGGGAGGGTACTCTAGTGTTCTTCGTGTTTGCAGGATGTTCTTGTACATCCTGGGGAGAGTGCTCTGGAATGTTCTGTGGGTTTGGGCCGGCGGAGGGTCTCATGTTCTTGAGGGATGTTCTTCTGGTTTAGGTCTGACTGTATTATCGGCCTCTAGGGGGCCCTGGGACCGTCAAAAACGGCCCAGGACGGAAAGCCGTACCTAGGGAAGTGGTCCTGACCTCCGGGGGTCCACGCATCGAACAAATTGGAGCGGCTGGATGTCGGAGTCGTTTGGGACGGGGCCAGGACGAGGATCAATCTTTTCTAGAGCGTTCCGGATCGTTCTCAGAGCTTCATGAAACGCTTTGAGGAGGCCGCGGCGCCCGAGACATCCTCCAGAGCCGCTAGATCTCAGGGACTCCTGATTGATCTTCGTCCGGATGTACACGCCGGTCGTTGAAAGTAGGCGTTTTTGGATCCCCAGATCCCAATATGTTTCTAGCGCCTTCCTCTTTCAAGAATCGGCATGGCTTTGATATGTTTTGTTATTCCCTGGGAGGGCCTGAACCCATTGTACTTCATCCGCCCTCCTACTTCATGGTTTTACTTATTTCTTTCGACAGTCTTGTATCATCATCTTCTTCGGATGCAACTCCTGGGAGGTCAAGTTCTGACTTTGCCATGGTCCAGAATCTGGCTCTTCCGGTTTAATCCCGCTCATAGTCTGGCTGAATCCCGCTCAATCCAGTTTTATCCCGCTCAATTCGCGGCCTAATCCGGCGCATCAGCCCCCCAATGGGGTCCCATTTGCTCCCGAATCTTTCCGACGAAGACCTCCCAGGGGGAGGAGGAGGAGGAGGAGGAGGAGGAGGAGGAGGAGGAGGAGGAGGAGGAGGAGGAGGATAAGCAGGTGCCTCATAAGTCTTGCTGCTGCTCCAGGAGGAGTGCGCCGCCCCGGCGATGCAGACCGCCGCGGACGACGTGAGCACGGAGTCGTCGCTCCAGAGCCACACGGCGGCCCCGGGTAAGGACGCGCAGGTCAGACGGGGGGGCGGGGGGCCTGACATGCTCGCGTCGTGCTTTCGCAGGAGGCGGACGAGGAGGAGGAGGAGGAAGAGGACAAGGAGGACAAGGAGGAGTAGGAAGACGAGGAGTGCGAGGAGGAGGAGGAGGACAAGGAGGAGGGCGAGCAGGAGGACGACGACGAGGACGAGGAGGAGGAGGAGGAGGAGGAGGAGGAGGAGGAGGACAAGGAAGAGGGCGAGCAGGAGGACGAGGAGGAGGAGGAGGAGGACGAGGAGGAGGAGGAGAACGAGAAGGAGGAGGAGGAGGAGGAGGAGGAGGAGGAGGAGGAGGACGAGGCGGACGAGGAGGAGGAGGAGAACGAGGAGGAGCAGGAGGACCGAGAGGAGGGCGACGACAAGGCGGCTGGAGGGCGAGGGACGGGAGGGCAGCACGGAGAAGCCGCCAGGGGCCGCAGGGGGAGGCGCGGCGGGCGCTTTGGGGGCAGATGCCGGCCCCTGGGGGGCCCTCGCCGGGGTGCGCCTAGAGCCACGGGGGGCTGACCTTTGGTGGTCTCCAAACCAGGTGGTGGGACACCCGGTGGTGACCCCGATTCCCCAAAAAATAATTCTGGGTCACCACCGAGTTTGGGGACACGCGGTCGCCACGAGGTTTTGCGTTTCCTGGGCCAGCCAGCGCTCGAAAACCGTTACCCAAAACGCCAAAAACTTCACCACCGGGTGTTCTCACTACCACGTTTGGGGACCACCAAGATCTGGGCGCTCCACCATCCGACCCAGTCGCGCACTCCCCCCCGAGTTTGTGGAGGACGATCAATGGAGAGGAGGCGTGCTGCCAAATCATTTCATTTCCAGAGGTCTAAGACGTGCCTCAAACACGTTTTGAACAGGTTTAATATATGTCCAGGACATGATCCGACGTTTTAAACACATGTTTAATTCGATGATATGACTGTTAGGGTGTCCATTGTCGTGGCATCCACAAGCCTGAGATTCTGGACGTTCCTGACGATGTTGAGAAAGTTTTCGGAGTAGGACGAGAAGGAGTAGGACGAGGAGGATGAGGAGAAGAGGGAAAGGAGCTTGCAGTCGGACTTATGTTGTCGGGGTTGTAGCGTTGTTCGATTTCGCGTGGGGTGTGTTCAAGCGAGTCCTGTCTTGGCGGCTTTACAACTCGAGTGCTAGTGTGGGGTTCTGGAGATTCCAGCTTTCTTTTTTGTTCAGCGTTCGACCGGTTAATCTTGTGGCGCGCAACCCAGAAACGAAATACAAATCAACATGCCAAGGAATTTCATGTCAAATCCACTACGCAAGGAATTGCATTGTACATCCAAAATATGGGATCGCTTTGCAAATCCGCCACCAAATGGAACTATATAGGAACATAACTCGGATAGGGAATCCTTCTTGTAAGCCGTCACAGAAGGAATTCAAGTGTAAACCCTTTCACACAAGATAATCGATAAACTGAGCGCAAACCCGCCGTATGAGGAATTGATTCCTCTCGCTTCGCGGGGTGCACGTCCGGAGCACGTACAGTCACGTCGTCGCGGAGCCTCTTGGGAGCCTCTTGGGGGCCTCCTGGAGGCCTCCTGGGAGCTTCCTTGGGCTTCTTGGGGACTTTTTGGGGGCCTCTCCCCCCTCCCTCCTTTTCATACTTCCTCCCCATATTTCCTTCCAGCGCCGGCTCTAATCATGGGCGCCGCTGTGACCAACTTCCACCTGGCTGGCGCTGCGCCGCAGCTCGCCCAGGTTGGAAAAATGTCATTGCACTCCAGTCGCTGTGTGGCCTTTGGGCGGCTTCTTTGGAGCCTTTGGGACGCTTCTTGAGGACATCTTGCTGGCCTCTTGGGGGCTTTTTGGGGCCCCTTGGGGGCCTCTTGGGGGCCTCTTGGGGCCTCTTGGGGGCGTCTTTGGCTGTATTGGGGCGCTCTTGCGCCGTTTCGCCCCTTCGGAGGCCGTCTTGGGGGCCTCTCGCGGCCGCCTTATGGCCGTCTTGGGGTCCTCTTGGGCCGTCATAGGGGCCTCTTGGACCGTCTTGGGGGCCTCTTTGGGCCGTTTTGGGGTTTTGTTGGGCCGTATTGGGGCCCCGTTGGGGGCTTCTTGGGTTGTTCTGGAGCGATTTGGGAAGCTGCTTGGGCCGCCAAGGCGAGAACGCTAAAAGATTACCAAACCATGAGGAATCAATGATTTCGGCCACTGGAGGCGCAGTTGTGGGCGCTCTGGGGGCCCCTTGGGCTGTCATTGGGGCTTCTTGGGCCCTCTTGGGGCCATCTTGAACCGTCTCGGGGCCGTCTTGGCCCGCACAGAACCAATTTTGAGCCGTCTTGGCGCCCTTTTGGCCCCCCAAGAGGCCCAATTTGTCGAAATCGCTGATTTTCTATAGGTGTTGGTAGGTTTTTGAGCCCCGGGAAGGGGGGGGGGGCACTTTAGTCCGCTCCTGTGGCGCAGCTCCCAGGGGGGGTTAGAGGGGGAGACATAATAATGTAACACAAGTAACACAATACAGCATGTGGGAATTACGCAAACACTGGACACATTGGCTCCACTGAATTGCAGCATCCGCGGAAACGCTGCCGCTCAGCACGTCACTTCCGGACGTGGATTCAAGTAGCTTGCGCCATTCCGCCGACCCGCAGAAGGAGCGAGAACGAGCGGCGATCGTGGATGTTGTTGGGTGGGTCAGGAGCCACAGGAATGCATATAAGGATATTTGAAGGGCTCTTGGGATGCTTCTCAGGCGCATCTTGGAGGGCTCTTTGTGGCATCTGGGGAGCGTTTTTTGGCCTTTTTGGGAGGCTCTTGGCAGCTTCTTGGGGGCCTCTTGTGAACCTCTTGGGGGCGCCTCGGGGACCTCTGGGGGGCTTTGGGGGCCATCTTGGGGGGAGCGGCTCGACATGTTAGTCGTATTCGACCTCTTGGGCCACTCTTGAGGCCTTCGTGGGCCTTTCTAGGCCGTCTTGGGGGCCCCTGGGCCGTCTTGGGACCCTTCTGGGCCGTTTTGGGGCTTTCCTGGAGGTACCACCGATGGCCCCAGTGGGTGCGTTCGCATGGCGTCCCCGCGCGCATTTTGGCACACCCCTCATACGTTTCCTGCCCCCCAGGGAGGTTCCGCACACGGTCCCAGTGGGTGCGTTCGCACGGCGTCCTCGCGCGCATTTCGGCACACGTCTCACACGTTTCCTGCCCCAAGGGAGCGTCATCCATGGTCCAGGTGGGTGCGTTCGCATGGCGTCCCTGCTCCCATTTCAGCACACCCCTCACGTGTATCCTGCTCCCCAGGGACGTCCCACACCCGGCCCCAGTGGGTGCGTTCGCATGGCGTCCCCGCGCGCATTTCGGCAAGTACACGCCTCACACATTGCCTGCCCCCCACGGTGCAGCTCACGCGTTTCCTGCCTCCCAGGGAGCTCCACTTAATTACAGTTCGGGCGCTGTTCGAGGAATGTGCCCAGGAGGTTCCAGACCCTGCAGGATGCCTTATCTGATGAGGGCGGCGTTGATATCCATGGTCAAGCCTTAATTGGCGCTCCACGGGCTTTCAGAGCCTGGATTCCTCATCCAAGGGTTCCTCACACAATATCCTCACCGTATGGCCGCAGTGGGTGCTTTTGCTTGGCGTCGTGAGAGCGCGTGCGTGAATGCAGAACGGCGAGCGTGGTCTGACGTTTTTGGCGAAGCGTTCATGAGAATCGCAGGCCTAGTATTCTTAGGTATCGAGTGGTCCTGTTCATAGTTGCTTCTTTTTGAAAATGGGTTGGGTTCTTGACCAGGCTGGTTTTACCCCATGGGAGAGTTTGCTTTAGCCTCTGGGAGGGTTTGTTTTAGGGCCTCGGGATGGCCCCGGGAGCGTCCTGGGAGGGCCCCGGGAGGGCCTTGGGAGCGCTCTGGGAGGGCACTGGGTGCATCAGGAGTGCCTTGGGAGCGCTCTGCAAACGCGCAGGGAACGCCGGGCGAGCTCTCGGGGAAGGCTGTGGGAGGGTCATGGGGATTGCCAGAGCTCGGGTTGCTGCTTTTCGAAGGTCCTGGGATGATTCTTGACGGTCCTGTTTCGTGAGGCGTTGGCGGCGGGAGCCCGCGCCAAACCTCAAACCAGGTCCCACATGCGTTTTCCAGACGACCCCGCCAGGCACATCTCGAGCCACCCAAACTCGGGACATCATGTAGGATGACGGTAAAGAGCTGCCCGAAGGGACCCGTCCGTCACGTAGCAGCGTCTTGGGCGATGATTCGTACATATGGGTTGTTCCACTCAAATTTGGATCAAGCTCCTTCCGGTTCAGATTATTACATTACCTTGCGCTAACAGACAGTGTGTCATCGTCGCCGCCATGGCAGTCAATGTTTGGTTTCCCGTGCTTCTCGGGATGCGTGACGTTTCTGGTATGCAGCGGATGAAGAGCGTGCCAAACGGCAATGCCGTGAGCGATGAGGAAGCGGCGGGTGGGGGGCTGAGCCGCATCATCAGCAACAGCAGCAACGGCGCCGCTTGCCAAGCGACATTGTATCAGCATGGCTGGTTCTCCGGCTTCTCTGCCACACACGGGGTCGGTACGCATAATTGAGTTGGCGACAGCCATAACGACGAGTATTCATCAATGTACATTTGGTCGGACGCTCGTCGCGCGGTCATCTACCAGCATTGATATTCTGGCGGCTGGTAATGCAGTTACACGGGCGCTGGTTGTCATGGAGTGTGTCAGAACGACCAAGTGAGCTCCTTGGCAGTGTATGACGACTCGACGCCGTACCCGACGCCGTTATGGGCTTCGTATAGAAGTCCTATAGGATCCGATGGGCGTCGTACAGGAGTCCTATTGGGTCTTATGGGATTCGTATGGGAGGCCTACAACTCCTATGGGTTTCAAATGGGGCTCGTATTAAAAAAAAAGTCATATAGAAACCCATGGAAACCGTAATGTAATCCTATATGGTCTTTTGGGATTCGTGCAGGCGTCCCATAGGATCCGATGGGCTCCGTACAGGAGTCCCATGATATCCAATGGGATCCGCAAA